CTTTTGTTATTGATTTGTAGCCTAATTTCACTATGGTCAGAGATTGCATTCTGGATATTTTCAAACTTTTGAAATGGATTAAGGCTCTCTATGTGACTCAGAATATGGCCAATATTTTATCACACTTAAGAAGAAAATGCTTTTAGAACTTATTTGGCATGATGTTCCAAATATACCAATTAGGTTGAATTTTTGAATTTTGTTGTCAGATTGTCTATGACCTTATTTTGTTTTCTTGTCATACAGCTATTGAGAGAGGTATGCTAATGTCTTGCACTATGGTTACAAATTTATCTATTTAGTTAAGTCAATTTTTTGTTTTATAGATTTTAAGCTATGTTATTGAGGGCATACCCATATATAATTGTATGATCTACCTCACTGATCAACTCCTCTGACATTATAAATGATCTCTCTTTATAATAAGTAATGCCCCTTGCATTGAAGGATAAAATATTTTAAGTTGCTCTAATTATGCCAGCTTTTCTTTTGGTTAGTGTTTCCTTCCTTTTTTCATCCTTTTACTTTCCACTTTTCATGTCCCCATATTTAAAGAATGCCTCTTGTTAATAACATACGTTGGACTTTTTTCCCAACTTGGCATTTTTCAGGCTATTTATACATAACACTATTACTAATATATTTATTGAGTGAAAAATTTCCATGGGTCTCCTGTTTCTGTATATCCTGTAGGCAGAAGCACTGACTGCTCTTTGTTCTGAACTACCTTTTCAAGGATATTTATATAGTGAATAGCTTTGGATAATAGAGATAGCATGCTGCTTGATACTGTATCCAATGGCTCTGATTTGGGTATTACATCTTCATTAGCAAGGGTAACTAATAAAGCCCCCCCAAAATTCAGAAGGCTGTTCATCATCATTTGTAAGTTTGTTTACAATTTTGAAAGATGGAGATAATGTCCCTTCTGGGACAAAGAGAAGACGTGCTTGATATCAAGTATAACAATGTCTCCCTCTGGAGCAAAAGATAGGCATAATTATTACCCATTATAAAAGATTTGGGTTCCCTGACGTCAAGTTTCCTTTCTCGTAATGCAGTTTACAGTATGTGCAGATGTTGCCCAGCCTTCTTCAACATCATCCTGTGCAAACTGGGGCTCACAGAAGTGACAGAAACACACACGCACACACACATGCACACACACACATGCATGATACTCTAGCTACTGCTATTGCTGTGAGTCATAAACTTTCCTTCATCTCTGGCCAAAGAGTTTTGTGTCTTCTTCCAGCACCCATGAAACTAAGTGAAGTTAACTTGTTATTAACAGCTTGCAAATAGAGTGAAACTCAAACCCATCACAGATCTTAGCACTTATGTTAACAAAGATGGGATGCTGACAGAGATATGGCTTTTCGTAGCTACAAGCTGAAGTAGATTTAAAGACAGCTTCACAGAAGGTGCCATAGTTCTTATTAACTCTCCTCTAGGTAAAGGCACTTTCTTGTCAATCTAACATCAGCCTCAGGTCTTCTCCATTGTAACAAATACTACTAAGATTCATTCTGGTTAGGCAGAAGATTCCTCCTGCTTTCAGACAATAGTTACAGAGATGTGCAACTATGCTGAGTGTAAAAGGAGAAAAATTTACAACCACTATTGCAGAGACCAGGTGAATCACCAGAACTTTAGCTGATTTGCTTGGAATATGAGGGAATGAAATGCATAATTGCTTATTTACATGAAAAAGTAATTGCTGGGCTGAGGTTCAGCTCCTCTTGCAGTCTACCATGCTAACCGTAGGTCCATTCTAAAACAATAATAAAAGGCCTCAGAGTTTTTTGCAGTGTGTACTGAATGCTGTAAGGTAGCTGTGCTGTGACCCTCTTAGGAAGATTTTCCTAAGACAGAAAAATTCCTGTGTAAAACCACAGATGAGTCATTGAATAGAATTTGGACTCTCACTTCCCCAGGAAACAATGTGAAGTGACCTTATGGGTGGTATTAATAATTTGAACAATTTCAATATATTTTCATTTGTGGCTTCAATACACTGATGTATATTCATTGAAGCTGTGGCTTCAATTTCTAAATGTATAATTGGTATTTATATTTTGCAAGCTTCTACTGTAAATGTTGCTAAACTCCTAAAGTGATAGTGGAACATATAAGTTGCTACCCAAAATGTCTCCCTGTTTCCTCTCGTAGTGTCTAACAGAAACAACATAGAATCCCAGGAGAAGAAAAGAAAGTTCCACCTTTAAGTATAGACTTAAAGGCAGCAGGAGTAGTAAGAGATGAAATATCTCAACTGAATAGACCATAGGGCCAGTAAAAAAGGTTATCAGGAGCTGGACGTTTACAGTGGATTAAACACCACTGAATTCAGTTGTTACTCCTATAGTCCTAGCTGATCCAGATGTTGTAAGGTAAGCAAATCTACTACATAGATTAATAGCACTTCATGTAACTGTCTTGGGCATTTCCAAAACCTTTTTTTGTATCCTATTGACACCCAAAGACAAAGAAAAATTCTCATTTATGCTTCAAGGCCATAAATATATATTTGCAGTATTCTCTCGTGAGTAACTAAACTCCCCTTCCATTCATTACAAAGAGGTGGGTAAGGATTTAGTGTGAGTACCCTCTGATAAGCAAACCTTTCACTGATAGATAATATTAAGTTGACTAGAGGGTCAGAAGCCTCAGACTCAATGGCTCTGACTTTGGTATTATCACGACTTCACCAGCAAGGGTAACTGATAAAATCCAACAAAATCCAAAAGCCTGCTCATCCATTTTGCGGGGGACTATGTAGACAGATTCACAATGCTCAGTCACTCCAGAAGTCAAGGAAAAATTGTCTCCCTTTTCTTCAACCAAAAGACAGTCTAGTGTCACTTTGGACTCTGGATATTAGAGACATTAGATGCCTTACTTGGCATTCTACTTGGGCTTTTATATCAGCTGACCCACAGTGATCGTAACCCATAAACCTACATTAAAGCTAATCACCAAGCTGTGGCATACCGTCTACTCTGAGGTGATACAAATTTAATGACCCCTTCGAGCTACAAATCTCCATGACTGATAATTCTGTGGACTAGAGCCTCTGGAAAAAGGAGGCAGCCTCCCCTTGGAAGCACCATTTGGAATATAGGACTTATTGACTTCCTAAAACAGCTACCATTTGGAAAGCAGCTATTAGCTTACTACTGGCCACTTGTCAAAGCCAAAGCCCTGACTTACAGAGACCTTGTAACTCTGTGAACTGATGAACTAAATCAGACTTACAGCTATTTGGTAAGCATTACTTGTCAAATGGAAATGATATATTCAAGAAGATAGGGGTAGTCATAATTGATCATTAACTGTTTATAAAAACACCACCAGTAGATAATATAGCCCTCAGAAGACTGGAAATTACTCTACAATGAAGTTACTCTTGGCTATGTAGGGAAGCCTCGTGAAGGATTAGTAATATGCAGCCTCAGGGTAGTTATCTCTACAACAAGCATACGCCAATCAGAAAAAGTAGTACAAAATTTTTGTCCCTGACTTTAGTTGAAATAATCAATGACAGCACCTCATCTCTCAAAAGCACTCTGGTCTGCCTCACTCACTGATCAGCATTGTTATGGATGACAGAATTGCCCCAAATTTCATCCTTGAAGGACAAGGTGGAATCTGGAATTGCTAATACATTCTGCTATACTTGGATTTCCATCTCAGGCTAAGCAGAAGCTCAATACAGAAACTTAAGAAAAAAGCCACCTGACTTTTAAAGACAGACCTTGACAGCTAAAGGATCAATTGACTGGGTCCAGGACCTTGAGGGTGTGGTTGGGAGTCAATACTGCAAGTGGTGTCTTCCTGTTGTTTGAATTCTGTTGACATTGACCTTAATTAAATGCTGTAAGAAACAAATTGGATGGACTTAGTTTCCAGTCTCTGTTTGTTAAACAGAGTGGCCAAAAACATGCTGTGCTCATGAAAAAATTTGTCATTATGGCCCTGGAAACTGATCTATGTCACGTTTTGGCTTTTTGGACAATTGGCAGTCTGATTGATAAACATGTGCTCTCTACCTAAAAATCTACTCAATAATAGGTTTATAGTCAAGTTTTCTACACATCTTAACATTTGTTTCCTATTTGATGCCCATGTTTTATGTTTCTTCTTTCTTTCTTTCTTTTTTTTTTTTTGATTAAGCAACTCTTTCATATTAATATACTTTACTATTCTTTTATTGGTTACCCTAAAAGTTACAGGATGCATCCTTGACATTTCACAGCCTAAAATAAGTGATTGTATTTACCATTTTCCCATTAATGCTAGAACTTTAAAACATTTAATTCCTTTTATAACCTTTTTTGGAGTCAATTCTCAATATCTAGGAAAATTGAATAAGTACACAATAGCAATTCTCCTTCAATATCTAAACCTAGATAAATTTTTACAAATGTACAGAAGAAGATATCAACAAGCCTATTCGTTACTGCATTGTTTGGAAAGATTAAAAAGTTGGAGCAACTTCATAACCATTAATAAGGTAATAAATGATGGTATATTCATAAAATAGAATCTCATAGTAATTAAAATGCATTAAATAGATATAGATCAACATGAACCTGAAGAACACAATTTCTGATGACAAAAGAAGTAGCATAAGAGTACATACAAAATGATACATAAATTTTAGAAATAGATTGTGTATAGACAAGCACATAAACCGTAAAGATGTACAAACATGTATGGGAAGGATGCACTCTAACTTCAGAAGAATGGTTACCTGTGCAAAGGAACAAAGAGAAAAGGGATAGGGAGTGATAAGGAAATCCTTACAAGGCTTTAAGTGTTAAAAATATTGATGCAATGATGCCAAAATGCTCATATTTTTAAAATTTGAGCAAATTGTACAAATTATATTCAAATATATTATTCCTTGTATTTTGTGTTTATGTGAAATATTTCATAAGTACATATAAGACTTTATCCAAAATTTTTGAAATGGCACAATGATAAAAATAATTTACCTGAAATTGTAGTTGCAAAACTGCGTGTTAATATAAACTGATTTTCTATATATACAGGCAAAATTTCAGAAACGCCAATCAGAACTAAATTTTCTGCAGCTTTAGACAGAGCTAGGCACACAAATATTGGATTCTTTATCAGAATCTGAAATAGAAATAAATTACATATCAATTTTTTTCTTTTGTTAGGTGAAGAGGAATAGATATGCCCATTCAAATGTTAATGTTTACCCTACAAAACTTTGCCTTTCCCAATCTAAACTGAAAATATATAGATAGATATCAAAACAGAAATCTACAATTTACCAATATGCATATTCCATAGAAGACAGGTAGTGTTTGACCATTTATATTTTAATTTGATCTCCATGCCACATTTAATCTTTATTTGTGGGCCTGGCAGTTTGTTGGAAAGATTAGGGCAAAATAAATAAATCATTAACCAAGTCTCTAGAATATCCCTCTACTTTTGTTTAACTGCTCATTTTTTTAGCAAATCTTTTTCATTTAACTAAAACACAAAACAAAGAAAATTTAAGCAACGCTCAAGAAAAATCACTAGGATTATAGTCAAGATTCTATTATATTTTGCTCCTGGAATTCCACCTACACAAAGAATTAAGTTATTTAAATTCTGCATTAAATTTGTTGAGCTTAGTCAAAACTCTTATTAAGATGTGATAGTTTGCCATTATCTATTACACTATTATACTATACAGAGTAATTAATAAGACAGTAAGTTCGATTAAAATAGTAAAGTTCAAACTAATTTCTATATTTCCTTGGTTATATATTTGTTTTTGAAAATATTTAGTACTGTTTTATGTTTATATATTTTTAATTACTTTAAACTTTCTTTTTCCCCACCCTAAACACCTCTTGCTAGATGTAACCCTACTCTTCATAATCATCTAATTCAGCTCTGTGTGTTATCTAATTTTACATAGTGTGATTCCACCATATTTATTCATTTCCATAGGCTTAAATACTTAGCTTACGTTTAACTCCCTACTGTCACAAACAGGCTACATGAAATATCCCTGTGCATGTACCCTTTAGGTCCTATGTTAAGCGTGCCTCTGGAAGTACTAGAAAGGGATTGCTAGGGCATTGAGATTTAACAAACTTTATTCTTCTATTCCTCCAGGTTGTTCTCCAGAATGTATCAGTTTATGCTACCACCAAAATATAGTACACTTCCATTTCCTTCATGTAGCAGCTTGTATTTTCTAAAATTCATCAGACCAATATTTCTGGTTGAGCATGCCCTTCCAAAATTATGCCATTCCCCCATCAAAAGTCATTAAACTTGGAAAGACCTTATGACTGCTTCAACAAAGCAAGTAATGCTGCATACTGTCTGAGGTTAGGTCATAAAATGATGATACGGCTTCTGCTGGGATCTCTTTCTGCCTCAGAACTCTTGCCTCGGAACTCAGTCACCATGTGAAAAAGACCAGGCCAGATGGAGAGGCCATGTGTGCATGTTCTAGGAAACAGCCATTCAAAAGCTAATATTTGAGTAAACGAGCCTTCAGATGATTCCATCCTCCAGACTTTAATTACTCCATTTGACCCCAAGTATAGATGAAAGCAGCAAGTCTTGCTCAAACTGCATTTTCATGAGCAAGATACATTTTGTATTGCTTTAAAGCACTAAGTTATGAGATGGTTTATTAGGCAACAATAGATAACTAGTACACTCCACATAATCATAAACATTTGATATTATTAGCTGGCTTCCAAAATTTTGCCATGCTTACAAATATAAAATAGTGCCACATGCTTTATTTCATATTTCTCTAATTTCAAATGTAACTGAGCATTTTTTCAAATAATTCTTAACTATTTGGGATTCTTCTGTGTATGCATAAACTACCTATTCATATTTTTATTAGGGTTCCTGAAATTTTGGTAGAGATTTTCCAAAAATTTTTTGTTATCCATTAATTGCTTGGATTTAGATATCTGCCACCCATCTATTAATATTGTCTATAGTTTCCTTCATAGAACAGAAATCCTTGACTTGATATAATCTAATCCATAAAGTTTTACTTCATATTTTATACAATTGCAATCTTGTTTAACATTTTCCCATCTCTACTTCACAAAGACATTTCTTTCATTTTTTAACATTTACTGTGTTATTTTATTTAATCACATTTTATTAACCTGAAAATCACCTTTGCACATAACATGAGTTAAAGAGCCAACTTCATTTTTCACAAATAATAACCAAATTTGCCATCACAACTACTAAACAATTATCCTTGAAGTGCCTCTTTTATCATACAGCAAGTTCTTATATATCATTGGTTGCCAAGTTCTCTATTCTGTTACACTGGTTTATTTACTTGTAAGGAGGAAATGCTGCAATGTTTTTATTACTATGGATTTTGTAACATGTTTTAATGTGTACCAGACCCAGTGCTCTGCATTTTAGTTATTCATGTCCTTAATCTGACATAGAAATTTTAGAATCAATTTGTTACTTAAAAAATCAAAATTCTTGCCACAGTGTTGATTATAATTACAGTGAATTCATGGATTACTTGAGAAAAAAGTCACATAGGTGGAGACTGTCATTTCATCCATTAACACGATATATCTTTCAATTTATCCCAGTCTTCT